AATTGTTTTAGTTTCTATGAAACTCTTCAATCCCTAGTCCCTATCCTTAAGCAATAATGACAATTATCATTTATTAAGCACCTAGTGGACGACCAGTGTTATGCTATATACATTATCCTTAATCCTCATAGCATCCTTGAAAGGTAGGTAGTATTACCCATGTTTTACAGATGAGAAAACTAAGGCTCAGAAAAGCCAAGGAACTTGCCCAGGCCACAGAGCTAATGGGTGGCAGGGAAAGATGTGAAGCTTTCTCTTGTCTCTCCTGACCAGGTCTCATCTCTCTTCCCAGGTTTCTCTTTGTACCAAACCCTCATCTCTGCCCATCTTGCCATGCTGCCTCCCACATATGAAAATGTTGCCAGTCCTACTCCCATAGGAAAATCCAAGAATGTTATTTCTTTCTCTTAAAGAAAGATCCAGAGAAGATAATCCAGAGAAGATAATCCAAGCTTTAGAACTATCCAGCCTGAAACAACAACAACAAAAATGTTCTGAATACACAGCAACACTTACTGCAGGAAAAAGGAAAAGCCACACTTCTTTGTAGGCAAACTAGACTTGACATGTCCCCCCACCTACACCAGCACCACCACGATACAGCTGCTGGTTGCCATCCTTCACTGCCCCACGCCCTACTCAGCAACTAGATGAAACAGTAAGGAGAAAGAAAAGGAAAACCCTGGCAGTGATCTACCACTCATCTTCTCATCAGGAAACTCCTCAAGCAACTACTACCAATCTCTAGTACGGAAGGACAAAAGCGGTGAAGAAGAATATATATGTTGAGGTCATGAATGCATGTATGTATGTACTGAGAGGAGGAAGTGAAATGAAGCAGAGTGATGAGAACAAACTCATCTCAACTCTCACTATCCCCTCTAACTCCACCCCCCTTGACCACATCCTAGTTCCTAACTTCCCCCACAGATTTGATGCCACTGATCATATGCCATCATCCAGAAGACTCCCTTATGCAGGGTTCCCAACTCTGAGCTGCAGAAATCATCAATGATCTAGAAATGGGGTGTCCTCACTTCGGATTCACAGATAGGAAAAGGGGTGGACCAATCAGCATGTCTACTACCAGTTCCAAAGTGAAACTCTGAACTTATTATCCCAGAATCACTGTCATAAAGCATAGTTGGGTTTTGCCCTTGTATATATGATGAATTACAAGCATCTGGGGGATTGGTCTGGGACCCTACACAGCATCCATAATATGGTCTCTATATCGAAGTGCTCCAAGCCCAAAAAACTAGTTAACATAAGAACTTTTGGCCTTAAGCAGCTTTTCTTCGTGCTTGGCCTGCTCCTAATTCTTCGGAGTATACTATTTCTTCTAATAAACTTTTTTCACCACTTTAAAAATAAAGAACTCAATAAAAATAAATAAATAAATAAATAAAGAAGTTTTAGAAATCAAATTGTTGTATTTGGACACTAAGATAAACTCACCTGCCCCAACTTCTGGGGCTGATATTTATTTATCCTTTTTTAAGAAACGATAAAAGGGCCGGCCGAGTGGCGCGTTGGTTAGGAGTTGGCTTGGGACACCAGCTCTGAGCAGCAGGGCTCCAGTTCGGATGCCACATTAGGGCCAGTGACACTGTACCCTCTACAGTTCAGATGGTGAACAACAGCTCGACCAGGAGCTGGGCTACCAAGAGTCGCCGGCAACAGTGTAGGCTGCAGCCCCTGCTGCAGTGGGCTGCCATAAGCTACCGTGAGTAGCTGGCAGCCAGCATGAGCTCCCAAGAGCCACTGTGAGCGGCCGTCCAGTGGCCGGCGACTGATCTGCCTCGCCCGGGAAAAGGTCAATGATAATATCAACATGGGCCAGTGAAGCGACATCCTCCACAACTAGACTGAAGAACAAAAGGACAGCAACTTGTCTGTTCCCCTTCCCCAATGCTGTTCCCTCCCCCAATTCCTCAATAAAATCTTTAAAAAAAAAAAAAAAAGATAGAAAATCCTAAATGACCAGCACATAGTCTATGACTGAACTAATGATCTTAATTTCTAAATGCACATTTTAACAAATACTTAGTTTATTAATCTGTAGTAAGCTAGAAATGGTCTTTTTAGTTAACTGCCATGATAAATGTGATGTTAAAGAGGTCATGTTCACCTTTCCTTCTGAGAAATCACGTATCCATCTAGGACTCTGAGGTTTAAGCACCAGCTGACAATGTATGGCCGATAGTCAAACCCTGGAATGGAGGGTGTTGCCATCACACAAGGATTGTTCATGATCGACAACTGTTCCAATTCAGTTAAGGATGCCAAAAAAGAAATCTGAAACAAAAGATATCTTTGTTGAACAAAATGGACTATTCAGTGTCAAGCACAGAGCTTCCGCTGATTACATATCTTGGGCAATTTGAGAATGTAACAATTTCCCTCTTGTTCTGAAGTGACAAGCAACACTCGTATATTATCCACTGACTTCTAAAATTCCAACAATATGGCCATCTGTCCTTCTTGCACAAAGTCCCTTAAAATGTATCAGCACTATTTCCTAGCAGAGAACCCTATTTTGAAAACATAATAGCAGCCAGAGAAAAGTGCACAGTATGCCTTACTAACCCCTTTCATGTAGATGTCCCTCTACCACCAATCACTTACAAATGGAATAATTACAGCATTGCATATTAAATCAAGCCTTAATGACCCACTGACATAAAGAAAAAATGGAAAGAAAAATAATGATCTAAAGCCAAGTATTTCATCTCGATGGCAGTTTCTTCCAAGATGCTCACAGTCTAGTGAGCTCACAACTTTCTCCTGTGTTTCTCCTTCTTTCTCACAACTTTCCAGCTTCCTGGATCCCACAGAACGCCCTCAAATTTTACCTCATTTAAATCCCGGATTTCATTTTCTGCCAAAGAAAGTATAGCAAGATTTCTGGGTAGATAAGCAGGTGCCATTCTAAGAGAGGTGATGATGTTTCCATGTAAAAGCAGGGTCTTAAAAGTAAAAACAGAATGAATTACAAATGAAAAGATTACAAATAAATTGGTCTATTTTGAAAAAAGCAAAATGATATGTATGAAAATAAAGGGATTTATTTTATTATACTTCTCGTAGCACACAAATCAAAGAAGATTAATGCTAGAAGGGTCCTAAGTGGTCTTCTCGTCCAACTCCCTCTTTTCACATCCACATTCTAAGCCCAATAAAGTTTAAAAACTTGTCGAAGAACACATGCTTGTTGTAGCAACTAGCACTTTGTGAAATTAAGTTTATTAAAACTCGAGCAATTTCCAACATACTTGTTCATTTCCTTTTAAAACGTCAAAATAGAGGGAGCATATGAGATCATGCTCCTTGGCCTATGTTGGTTCAAATAAACTCATAAAAATTTTCAAATAAATAAATAAATAAAACATCAACATAGAGGGTGAGAAAAGTGAAAGAAAACATTCATTGAAACAATCATGCATAAAGCAAATTTTCCAAAAGGGGGGGGGGGAAGGGAGAGGACAAACAACCCATAATTTGCAACTGTATTCTCCTGGAAACTAAAAGCCTGAGGAAGGCTTTTATGAAGTTGACTCAAATTAAGTCAGTAATACTGAAGTATAAACCAAAAACTCTGAATACCTAGGATTATAGTAAGATAATCATGCCTCTATTTCAGGAAAAATAATGCTCGATCATCTTTAGTTCATTTGCATTCTCTTATCTCTTAGTATCTGACTAAATCAAATTGTTTAGAATAACTTACATTTCCTCCTAAAGATGTGGGGACTGGTGAGGTAATAATACTTAATTAGCTTAATGAGTTTATCTGATGCTAATAATATCCAATGAAGTAAAAATACGAAAAAACCTACATTTTTTTTGAAGCTGTGATTTCAATCATGTTAATTCATGTATGCAAAATCAAAACTGTTATTTATTTGATTATATGATCCATGCCCCTCCATAAAATGTGCTATGTGCTACAGGTTTATTTTTATTTAAATTAAAGTGAAATTAATGTTGATAATTTAGTAATGCCTATTACTAAAAATACAGCAATCCTAAGTGTCAAAAAAAAGGTTCAAGTTCGGGAACGATTACTTTCAACCTCACTAACATGTCATGTACTTTATATAACTAAAGCTCTAGCATCACTGGTTGGGCATAAGGAAATTTCAAGTTTGAAGAATGATTAATAAGAATTAACCTTGGGGCCAGCCCAGTGGCTCAGTTGGTTAAGAGCGCAAGCTCTGAGCAACAGGGTCGCCAGTTCAATTCCCACATGGGCCAGTGAGCTGCGCCCGAGCTGAGTTGCCAAAAGGTGGCAGGATGGCTCAACTGATGAAAGCACGTGCTCCTAACAACAAGGTTGCCAGTTTGATTCTTGCATGGGATGGTAGGCTACACCTACACGCAACTAAGATTGAACAAGGCACCTTGAGTTGAGCAGCCACGAGCTGCCGACGGGCAGCCGGATGGTGACTGGACTTGGAGCTGAGATAGTTGCGCCCTCCACAACTAAGATTGAAGGACAACAACTTGGCTGTTCCCCTTCCCCAATTCCCCAACACTGTT